CTAGGCTTAGAATAGCTCATAGATATCTAGAAATTTATAACTAATATGTATAAATATACTGACAATTTTTGACATATATTACTTCATCAATGAGGCAACCGGATCCATGTAAAATACCACTAAAATATATCAATTTTTAAGGCCTCAAGTATTCCTCTAACTTTTTCAGTATAACCCCGTCATAAAATGGCAGCTGGTTTGACCTATTAAACTTGGGTAAACTGCCAGGTTGCTTTTGTGCAGCCAAATAGGCCAAACAAGTTCACAACCCACTGAAAACTAGTTCAATTAAGTTTAGATGCATCCTGAACCACAGATTATTCAGTAAATAACCATAGAGCATTTCCTCTTCACAAAAGTAACCATTTTATCTACGTTTATATTTAAGATAAAATTTACTTCAAGTTGTAAAATTTTGCAATATATGATATATATACATATGTGTTTGTGAGCATATATCCATTCTACTTATTGCTCCATTCCTATTTACTTTCAAAGCTTTCAAATAAATATTTGTTGGTATGTCTATCCTTTAACTATTATTTTTTAACCCACTGCCTTATCTGATCCTTACTTGAAATGACAAAGTAAAAAAATGGCAGACCAAGATCCTATTTTGATCTCTGGAGTATCAAGGAAGATGAGGCTCAGATGACACAGACACATCTTTGCAGCATGCAAGTATGCAGTAGGAATTATGGATAAAAGAGGATGTGTAAATGGCACAAAAATTCACAGCCAGAAGGCCTATGGCTGGCTTTCACAGGGTACAACCTAGACTTAACAAGTATTATAGAACAGAGGTATATATATACCCTTGATACAGAAGACACAGGATTTAAGATTTCTACTGACTTATCTTCAAGTTTGCTACTGACCCCATGCAGTAAATTTGTATTTCATATACTGTTGTGTTTTTCAGTTCTGATATTTCACCATTTGATTCTTTTTTTCTATCTTTTACAGAACTATCTTTCCATTCATTTCAAGAATACTCATTTCTATCTCACTGAACATGAATATAATAGTTGCTTTAAAGTCTTTCTCTGATAATTTTATCATCTGGATCATCTCATGGTTGGCATCTGTTAATTGTCTTTTCCCATAAAAAAAATGGTCAGATTTTCCTGTTTCTTTTATATCAAGTAATTTTAGATTATATCCTAGACATTCTGAAAATTCAGTTATAAAATTCTAGCTTCTGTTACCATCTTCTGAAGAATTTGATTTTTTTAAAGCTTAGACTGAAAGTACTACATTGCCTTCTGTGGGGGGTGGTTTTAATGTCAGTTCAATTTTCAAGTCTTTAGTATGTTATTTGGGCTTGTCCTCTGTGAGCATCACTCCTGCAAATCTGAGATTTGAACAGTAGTTTATACTGTAGTTCAGTTCTCTAAGTCTTTGCTGTGCTTCTTTAGGTCTGTTCTGTGAATGTGTAGCTCATGTGTGAGGTGGGGCTTCTGTGGGTTCATACTTACAATTAGGGAATATCCTCTCACATCAGCTCTCTTCTCTCTGAGGTTCCCCCAGCATGCTCTTGTTTCCAGGGGCCTCTTTCCCAATTCCTCTAGACAAAGAAATTATTTTCTCTCAGAGTTTTAAATTGTTGTGCCACCATGGCAATGCAATTCTTTAGAGGTGGAGATAGTCTCAGGGAAGACTTGAGAGAAAAAGAAAAGATCCCTTTTCCTTGTCCTCTGGCTGGAACGGGTTTCTCTGAGTTTCTGATAACTGCTATAACAACTTGTATAGTTCTATAATTTAGCCCATTCAGTCACAGCTGGGACACAGGGGGGAAAAAAAAGGTACACTCACCATTATAAAGACTATTCTTCAAATTATGACTTCCCTTCTCAATTTGCCTATTATTAACTTTCAGAGTCTTTAGATAGTTGGTTTTTGTATTCTATTGACAGCTTTGCTATTAAATTTATTGGGTGACACTGATTAATAAAATTATATAGACCTTAGGTATACAGTTCTGTAATATGTCATCTGTATATTGCATTGTGTATTGACCCCCTAAAGTCAAATCTCCTTCTGTCACCATATATTTTACTCCCTTTACTACCTTCCCCTAACCCCTCTTCCCCTCTGGTAACTACTAACAGTTTTTGGTTCCACTCAGTCGTAGAGAGAGGCTTGTTCCATTTTGGCCTATCCACTGTACTATGTCCATTTCCCAACAGACTTTTACCTAATGGCTTTAGTAGTTACTGACTGTTCATTATCTAGATTCATAATTTTATTAGAGGATGCGCTGTGTTGAGTCTATAACCCTATCATTCTCCCAGCATTTCTTATTAGCTGTGATTCTTCTATAATGGTAAACTTTCCTTCCTACCTATTTAGTTACCTTGAAATATAATTTGTGCAGAAAAAGAATAAATGGTTGATTCTTTCATCTACCAAAAATTGTCAGAGTAATGAACTGGTGCCTAGGAGGATTTTTTTTTAAAAGTATTATTATGAACTTTAGAATTTTTTTTTTCAAAAACATCTTTATTGATTTCAGAGAGAGGAAGGGAGAGGGAAAGAAAGACAGAAACATCAACGATGAGAGAGGGTAATTGGTTGGCTGCCTCCTGCACATCCCCTGCTGGGGATCGAGCCCGCAACCCAGGCATGTGCCCTGACCAGGAATTGAACCTTGATCTCTGAAATCGTATCATAGGTCGATGCTCAACCACTGAGCCACACCTGGCCAGGCGAACTTTTGGATTCTTATACAAACATATATTTCAACCTACTGAAGTCATTACATTTTTTAAAACCTATTTTTACTGAAAATTTCAAACATACACAAAAGTAAAAAAGAATAATGAAATTACTAACCCATATACCCATCACCCATTTTCAACAAATATCAAATCATGGTCAATCCTACTTCATTTATTCTGCCCCTTCCCATCCCCCTTTGCATTATTAAAAGCAACTCCCCAAATCTATATCCTCTCATCTGTATATATTCCAGTATAATCTATAAATTACAAGGACTTTTTAAAAACATAACCACAGTATCACTATCATACCTTTGAAAGTTAACAAAAGAGATATAAGAACTCTACACACAAAATAACAAAACATTTCTGAGAGAAATTTTTAAAAGCCTAAATATATGAAAGTATATACTATGGTTAATGTATTCAGTCTCATTATTAAAAGATGTCCAATATACCCAAATTGATCTATTGATTCAATATTAAGCTAGTTAGTAATAACATGAAATAGTAGGTAATAATATTAAACTTCCTTAATATTAAGCAAGGTTTGGTTGTTTATTTATTGGGAAACTGATAGGCTAAGTATAAAATTTTTACTGAAATTTAAAGTACCAAAAATAACCAAAGCAATTTTGAAGAACAAAGCTGGAAGATTTAAAGCTAATTACAAGAGTACTGCACTGTCACAAGAACAGACTGATGGAACAGAGTCCAAAAACTGGCCCATAAATAGTCACCTGATTTACAACAAAAGGACTACTGTATTATACTAGAGAAAGGATAATCTTTTAGATAAACAATGCTTGAACAAATAGATTTCCATATGGAAAATAAAATGAACCATGAATCCTACCACATACCATGCATAAACCTAAATATATAAGTTAAAACAATTGCCCAGCCAGGCATAGCTCAGCAGTTGAGCATCGACCTAGGATCCAGGTGACTGGGGTTCGATTCCCGGTCAGGGCACATGCCCGGGTTGCAGGCTCGATCCCCAGGCAGGGGCGTGCAGGAGGCAGCCGATCAATGACTCTCTCATCATTGATGTTTCTATCTCTCTCTCTCTCCCTCTCCTTTCCTCTCTCTGAAATCAATAAAGATATATTAAAAAAAAAGAACAGGGCAAATTTATTTAAAAAAAAAAAAAGTTAAAACAATTAAGTTTATAGAAGAAAACCTAGGAATATTTTCTTATCTTTGGGATAGACAAAGATTTGTTAAAACACACAAAAAACACTAACCATAAAAGAATACTTTGTTAAAATGGAGTCTTTTAAAATTAACAAATTATCTTAATCAAGACATGTATTAAGAGTGAAGAAATAGCCCCCCCTGGGTATGGCTCAGCAGTTGAGCATCGACCTAGGATCCAGGGGACCGTGGTTCGATCCTGGTCAGGGCATACACCTGGGTTGCGGGCTCGATCCCCAGTCAGGGGTGTGCAGGAGGCAGCTAATCAATGACAATTCTCTGATCAGTGATTTCAACTCCCTCTCTCTCTCTCCCTTCCTTTCTCTGAAATCAATAAAGATATATTTTAACACCAAAAAAAAAGAGTGAAGAAATAGAAGAGATAGTTTTAATACTTAATCCAATAAAAAGCTTATCCTATAAACAGATAAGGAACTCTTAAAAAGACAGACAACCCAAGAGAAAAATGGGCAAATGACATGAATAGGCATTTCTCAAGAGGATATCCAAATGGTCAACAAGCATATAAACATCTACTAAGCCTTTTAAGGTATCAGGGAATTATAAATTAAAACTACAAAAATTTTACTACATATACAGCAGAAGAGCTAATATTAAAAACACTAATAATTTCTAGTGTTGGTGAGGATATAACTCAATGAGAACTCTTGTACACTGCTGGTGGCAGTATAAATTGATTCAACCCCTTTGGAAAACTGGGAGGATCTACCAAAGCTAAATAACAAAATACGCTAACCCAGCAAGTTCATTCTTGGGTATTTAGCCAAAACAGAAATGCATACATATGTACACCAAAAGACATGCAAAAAAATATTTAGAGCAACACTGTTCATAATAGCCCCAAACTGAGAATGACCCAAATGTTCATCAACAGTAGAATGAAGAAATAAACTGTGGTATACACATACAAATGATGTTATTACAAAGCACTGAAAAAGGAAAAACTACTGCTATATGAATCAACATGGATGACTCCATAAACAAGATGATCAAATAAAGACAGACACAAAGTGTAAAAATAGACAATACTAATGAACAGTGAGTGAACTCAGAACAAGTTACCTGTGGGAGTGCGTGATGACTGTCAGGGGGCATGAAGGAGGCTCCTAGATTGATGAAAATGTTCTATATCTTGATCTAGGTATTGGTTAAAGAATGATGACTTCATAAAATTTCAAAGTGATACTCAGAATTTATGTACTTCATAATATGCATGTTTTAATTCAATATAAAAAGTTTTTAAAAGTTGACATATCAGTCCCTTGATTTTTTAATTTTTCAGTTATTTACCTTGTTGGTAAAATTGAAGTTTCTAATAGAAATAGGTTTCTACATCAATCTGCCTTTTAGTTGGGTTACAAAAAGTCATATTAACTCCCTTTTTCAGTAAAATTATTGAAGAATTGTCTTGATATGTGGATCGTTTTGACATTATGGGGGCAATGGAAAGTCTAGCTTGAAGTTAGATCTATCCCATATTCATAAACTAGAAAATTCTAAGATAGTATTTTTTTCTTAATGTAAATACAAGCGATCAATTTTTCTGTACTAAGTTCCAGATCACTAGTTCCCACAGTTTGTATTTGGCGAAAAGAGGTAAGAAAACTCGAGGCTTCTGCGGTTTAGCATCTAAGCTCAGTTTTAGTTGAAATCGAAAAGAGCAAATCAAGGCAAGTGTCATCATAAGGTTGGTGTGGAAATAAAACTATTAAATGTGAAGTGCTTAGAACATGATGCATAGCACAAAATAAATGCTCAAAAACGTCTGCAATTATTAATACCATTTTGAGAAAAACTCTAATACATCCTTATTCTTGAGTTTTCTTCAAAACATAAGTTTAATTTGATAAATAAAAGCAGATCCACTTTTAAGAACAAAGTATATTTATGGAGCTAAGGAAACATTTAATGGATTTTTAATGAAACAAGCTGAAGTGAAGAAAATTACAGGATGGATGAAAATTAAAGAGACTACACCTAAAATTTTTCAAAGTTCTAAATTACACTAATTGGTTTTAACTTTGATCTTATGATTAAAATAACTGATGAGATAATCCACAAGAATACTGTTACTATAAAGATCTTATCTTTGTATAGCAGTTTTTACATTTGCAAAGTTCTATTTCATTTTATCTCCACATTACTCTAAAATAACTAAAACTGCTTTATAAAATATGTATGTCAGAAACTTATTAAATTCAGGAAAACTTCACAGAACACCTGCACTGATGACAACATGGTTAATCATAAACCACTCACAAAAAACACTGTTCAACAACAGTGCTACCAGGTAAACAGAGTATGTGTGAAAGCACTTTGAAAAATAAACACAAGGAATATAAGTGTACTTTTTTTAAGCTTTGTGGGCTTGTTTTATTGTTTTGAGCCTTACCGGAGGATTACTTTTATTGATTTTGGGGGGGGGGGACGACAATGATTGATTGTCTCCCATATGCCCCCAATTGAGGACCAAACCCACAACCTATGTACGTACCCTGACAGGGAATTGAACCTGAAGTCTTCTGGTGTATGGGACAACGCTCCAAACAACTGAGCCACTCGGTCAAGGTGGAATATAAGTGTACTTTTAAAGGAAGTAAATAATAATTTAAAAGCAACAGTATTTGGACATAATTTCCAGGTTTTTTTGATAACTGTTAAAGGCATTTCTTTAAACTTTTTACTTGTAAATATTTCAAACTTCCAGAAAAGCATAATAGTTCAAAGAACTCCTATATATACTTTATCCAGATTCACCAATTGTTAACATTTGCACCATTTTCTTTATCATATATAACCGTATCTTTTGACCCATTTGAGAGTAAGTTGTATATATCATGCCCTTTTACCCCTAAGTACTTCAATGCACACCTCCTAAGAACAAAGACAGTCTCTTAAATAACTACAGCAAGTTACTAACTTCAGGAAATCTAAAAATTGTAAAATATTTTTATTTAATGTCTATTTTCCAATTTTTTTAACTGAGCAAGTAAAGTCCTTTAGGGTTTTCTTCCTCTTCCAGTAGAGGTTCCAGTCCAGAATTATGTACTGAATTTAGCTATCATCTCTCCCTAAATTCCTTATAATTTATAACCATTTTCTTCATCTAAATATCTTTTAAACTATCTTATGTAAGGTATTATTCTGCAAGACAAGATTTTAAAAGTTGGGTTCTTGAGCAAAATATATAGGGAAGTTTCACTAAAAAAACCCCACAAAGGTTCAGCCCTGGCTTGGTGGCTCAGTTGGTTGGAGCATCGTCCCATACATCAAAAGTTTGCAGGTTTGATTCCCAGTCAGGGCACAGGGGTTCAGTCCTTTGGTGGGGAGTGTATGGGAGGCAACCGATGGATGTTTCTCACATCAATGCCCCCCCCCACTTTCCCCACCCCCGCTTCCTCTTTGCTTTACAATGAGAAGGCTTCTAGTTTTCTTTGAGACTGGTAATTCTTGGATTAGTGGTTCTTCAGATTTCGAAAAATAACAATATATTATCAACTAAGACAAATCTGGCCAATGATTTGATGATTATCTGTAAAGAATGAATCCAGAGAAAATCACTGTCTTCAACAAAATTCTCTCCTAGGGTTAACAAAAACACCCAATCCCAATAAGCAAATCTTTTTAAAAAACTGGAGTTATTGTGATCATACATAGACAGTTATTAGACTACAACAGATCTTGTTCTTTCTCTCAACAAACACTGACTGACTGTGTGCCAACTATGCACCATACCTATGACAGGGGGATCTAGTGGTTAAAAAAATAGGCATAATACCTACCCTTAGGAAACTTATAATTCAGTAAGTCTTAACAGGTATTATTTTCCCCTATTTTGAAAATGAAGAAACTAGGATTCAGAGTTGTAAAATATTTCCAAAGTCACAAAACTACTAAGTGTTCTAGAGAGACAAGAAAGATAGTGCTAAAATCATGGCCTTTTATCTCCTAATATAGGACTTAACCAGTCTTTGTCACTACAGAAGAGCTCCTTAAAATTATCCTGGAAGGCTATTCATGGACTCCAAAAGGAGCCATGTACATCCATCCCCAACACTGAGTGAATCACCAAGAAGTTTCCAAATAATATACAGGGTGTCCCCCAAAAATGTATACACCCTTAACAGCTGATCGCTCAATTGATGTTTCTTTTCTTTTCAAATTTAACTCATTAGAATTAATTAATTATTTGAAGTGTATATACATTTTGGGGGACATCCTATATTAGTACTTTCACTTAAAAATAACAGGTAATCTCCATATACTGGAAAAAAAGAAAATGTACAAAAGGTATAATCTTTTAAGAGCTTAAGGTATTATGATAACATTAAATCCTGAGTACTACATTTAGTCCATTAAAATGGAGTACTATACTAATTTTATATATATATACATATATATATACACACACACACACACACACACATTCATTTTAGAAGAAAAGTAACAGAATTGATTTCTCTTGATTTATTTTCTATTTTAAAACAGCAACACATGCCAAAGTAATTAGAATGTGAGTTACACTTCCCAGGATAAAGGTATAAATAATATAAATAAGTCATTGAGAGTTGGCACTCTCATCTCCCTGTAATTTCCTCCCACACATATCTTAAACCTTAGCATCCAACCTGTAAATACTTCTCTAACCACATAGAGCAGAAGTTAGCTAACTTATTTTGCAAAGGGTCACACAGTAAATATTTTTGACTTTCTGGGCCCTAAGGTCTCTGATGCAACTACTTAACTCTGCCACTATAGCTTGAAAACAGCCATACCATACACAATATGTAAAAATATGGTGGCTGTGTTCCAATAAAAGCTTTATTCACAGATGCTGACATCTGAATTTCATATAATTTCTACATGTCAAAGTAGTATTCTTCTTTTAAGATTTTTCCCCCAACCATTTAAAAATGTAAACACTATTCTTAGTTCATGGGCCACACAAAAACAGGCAGCAGGCTGGATTGACACCCCTGATGGAACGCTGAAGTTGCATGACTGGCCCTTTTTTTACCTTAATCAACTGATTCTTTATCTCTAAACCTAAAATCTGACAGGAAATAATTCTTATTCTACTTTTCAGTCATTTGTAAATTACCTTTCTTTATCTCAGCAAAAACAAAGTTATAAATCTTACATTTGAGTAAATTTGAAAAATTCCAGGAACTGCTGAAAATACTTAAAATTCTGATATCAATTATCTTACCAGTGAGTAACTTTTCACACCTCATTAAGAATGAAAATTCTAAAGATAATTAAAAGCTATCAAGGAAGGTAACAACAGATCATGCCCTAAATATATTTGTAATACTTTGTCCTATGCTCCTTGCCAGGAGATTTCAAACCTTACTATACCTAATAATTATGAAAAAAATAAAAAGAAAAAAAGATGGCATACCTCTGAGCTCAAAATGAAGCTTGAAGGTATCTAGTGAAACTCACCAAGTTCTAAAGATTCATCTAAGAGGAATGTAGAATTTTCCAAGGGCATCTTATACTGTGACAGAATCAGCTTCTAAGTTTCGGCAGCTTTAGAGGAAAAAAATAAAATAAAAATTCTGTAAAATAAAGGCAGCTGTGGAAATAATGTTAACCAAATTATAAGTAACAATACCTCCAGTATTTTCCCCCCACCCATGTATACAACATTAATTGGGACCTATGTGCCAGGAATTGGGGATAGAGCAATGAACACATCAAATCCTATCACATTCAGGGAGATGAGTCTGTAGGGCAACGCCAAACGGGATGAAATGCTTTAAGAATCACGATGGTGTGAAGAGAAAAACTGACAGATATGCAAACCACTCTGGGGGAAATTGGTTAGAGGAGGCCTCCTTATGGAAGGAGTATTTAATGCAAGCACAAGTAGGACCTGGCCAAATAAAGCAAGGAGAAAGGGAGAGAGAGAACGTATTTCAGCCAAAGGGAACAGTATGTTCAAATGGGCAGAGGAATATGGCAGTGGTGTGGAAGTAAAAGCAATCCAGAATGGTGTTCAGAGTAAGAAAAGGTATGAGAGAAGGCATCTCTGAGATAAGATGAACAGAGGAGGAAAGCAAGAGGTGAAGAGTCACACAGTCACAGAGAGCTGAAAAGTAGATCCCATTTTAAACTCTTACCACCTGACAACAGCCATTCTGAAGCTCTTCTCAGCTCCCTAGCCTCAAGGCTCTGAGAAGGAAGCTGAGGGAAAGTCCTTGTACAGGATCCTTTCAGGGGACTCTTGCAAGGGCCTGAGGGAAGACTGCGCTGGGGAAATGAAACCAGCCTCCCTAAGGATGCATGAATCGATTAACTGACCATCCCGGGCCCTCCTAAAGAATGATGGGGAAATAAAATCACTCTCAGCACCATCCTCAATGACTAATTAATTGTTACCAAGCACTTTACTATGTATGACACCCTGTTCTAAGTGCTGTATAGGTATTAACTAATTCAATCTTCATAACATCCTTATGAGATAGGTGTTTTTATTATCCTGTATTTCCATTATAATTTTATGAAACAGTCCAAATATTACCATTAACTTTTATTAAAAGAAAAATTATCAGAAATGTTAACACCTCTTACCACAATATTAAAAGCATTTTAATTATCTATCAGAAAAGCACTACTTTAATTATCAATTAACAAAAATAAAAAGACTTTACAACTTATTGATTTGGTTATTTCTTTTTTAACTAGAGGTTCTAATAAGGAAAGAGTTAGAGAAAGTCTGTTCCTTGCTCATTCATTCACTCACTATGATAGTTTCTACACACCCAATGGTGAGGAAAACACCAAATTCCTGCCCCAGTGGAATTTTAGTCACTGAAATATAATGAAGATTGATACCCTGTGGCAATTATATTTTTTGCAACATGTCCTGTTTTTTGAATGAATGAAGAACCAAAAAGCAGAAAATATCTGATGCAAGAGAAAAAAATCAAAACCTGAGGGGAATGGACTGTGAATAAAAATTTTTTAAAAATCACATGTTAAAGGTAGACAAGAGAAAGAAAAAAAAACTGCTTCATTGAAGAGCATACTAAGGAAAAATGGAAAATAATCCTTGCCCAAAGAGCACGGAGAATCGCAGTATTCAGTGCACTATAATGAAGGTTCTTAAAGGAATTAAAACTGTTATGAAAATAAAGTCAGGTGAATACTACACAGCAGAATATTCAAGACTATAATGCAGTGATGAAAGATTAAACCTTAATCCAGCAGTCTTTACACTGGGGACCAGATGGTTTTAAGGGAACCAATTTTCAGATCCTTAATTTCCACAGTTACCAACCAGTTACTAGAATTAATACCAAGGTCAGAATATCATGGTGGTTTCTCCTTTTCTATATTTTATAATCTTCCTTGTTCCTGCTCACAAGAGAAAGATGTATTTCTCATACATCTAAAATCTCACTATAATGCACTTCCCTGAGATGTAGAAATATCCAGAACACCAAAGAAATCATTTGAAATATTGATT